ATTAATATAAACTTTGGCAGAATTCATTCACATGTACAACATAGTTTCTTAAAACTGGGAAAAAACGGTGGGATTGTTTCCAAATAACACATTTGGTCAAGAGCAACAACTTTACATATCAAATTGTATCATCACCATATCACATAGAGTAAGTAGTGATTTCTACCATTCATAGATGTTATAAAATGACACAAAAAAGATTTCCAAAAAGAACATGCACATTAATTGTGCAAGCTTTTCCAATAAAAAATAGTTTCATCAGTAGGTAATGTAGAACATAGGATATAGGGCTCTTCTACAAAAGCGCCACCTACATCGGCTACATATAGCGGAACTGCAGTCAGAAGCTCTGAGGAAGGTGTCTGATAGACACTGAAATGAAAGCAAGGTAGGAGACAATGCTGATTGTGTACAAGAAAATCCCAGTATCCTATGGACCTATCACATTATTACGTCACAGTTCGTTTACCTGTTCTAAAGAACATTCTAGAATGGTCAGTTTAAGAATAAAGATCATTTCAAAGTTTTCAGTCAGGTATGTTTGATTTTTGCTGCATCTAGTTTTGTTGACACAGCATTACATGCCGCATGGGTGATTTAGTTGTGACAGTAGACGAAAGTAGTACTGTATAAAGGCCTTATATTAAGGCAAACACACACTGCACTACACACCCCTGTACAATATAAACATCGATTGACCGGCATTCATTGCGGTAAACAAACTGTGACGTAATAATGTTATAGGTCCATTGTACAAGCTGTGTAAAAGTCTTTATCAATAGTTCATTCAGTTTGGAAGTCCAGTTGGACTTCTGTATCAAAATTACAGAGGAATACAGTACCTCCAACATGGTTGATTTGGCTCCAGTAGTATCTTAAAAAGAATGTATAAGTGATACCATTACTAATACATAAGTCCTCATTATATCTTCACTGAATCTTACTTTACTTGCACTACAGATCATTTCTATAGAGATACATTAAAATAGTGCATTCATACATTATACTACGTATATGTCCTGACTAAATATTGGTAATAAATAGGTATTGCTAAGCAATAAAGTACTCGAATGATAACGACTATGCGACATCGCAAATATATACATTTAAAGACCACTATTATTACTTCATAATATAAAACATCAACTCGTGAATTCAATCTGGAGTACAGCCAGTATAGACCACCCTGACGGCTTCTTTCACACATTACTTGATTGCAACAGACATAAATGTAGAACTCTATCACTTAGGCCACACCAATTTAATTTCTTGGTTAACGGATTCGCCCACTTAATTTTTTTTCTGATTTGCAAATAAAAATAAAAATTCAGAATCAACTGCAAATGCTCATCTTCTTCTTCTTCTTCCTCTAACAACCCCGTAAGGGGTATCGCTGAGGGGGGGGGGGGAGTGCGTGGACCTTACAGTAGGGAGGCCCGAAAGGCCTCCACAGATTGTGCCTGTACGGCCTGGGCAGGTAAACTGTTCCACTCTCGAATCGAGCGTGGGAAAAATGAGAATTTGAAACAGTCTTTCGTTGCAGGAATAATATTGTATTTAAAGGCGTGGCTACCTCTGGTGCGCCGCTGTGCAGGAATAAGATATTGTTCAGAGGGTATGTGCATGTGACCGTGAGTTATTTTGAACATTGTAGTCAGACGTGCCTCTCTTCTTCTGTTTGCAAGAGTGGGCCATTGGAGTTTTTGCAACATTTCGGTCACACTACTGGTGCGGGCGTAGTCATTCATGACCATCCGGGCTGCCCTGCGTTGTACGCGCTCAACTGCCTGCACCCCACCAGCTGTGTAGGGGTCCCACACTGAGGCGCAGTACTCGAGTTGAGGGCGTACCAGGGCTTTATAGCAAGTGTTTTTGACTTGCGATGTGCAATGGCATAGGTTACGCCGGATAACTCCCAAGGTCCTGTTTGCCTTACCAGTAGCGTGAGCAATGTGAGCATCCCAACGCATGTCGTTGGAGATGTGAACTCCCAAGTAAGGGTACGATTTTACAGTCGTAAGATTTACCGAGCAAAGACTATACTGCGTAACAAGTGGTCTACGTTTGCGTGTAATGTGAATAGTATGACATTTAGCTGGGTTAATATTCATTTGCCAACGATCCTGCCACTCGGTCAGCGCGTCCAGGTCGGCCTGTAAGCCCTGGGCATCTGTCGGGCTCTTAATAACCCGGTATAACAAACAGTCGTCGGCAAACAAACGTACGTTACTATTAACTATGTCGGGCAAATCATTTATGTAAAGAAGAAAAAGAAGCGGGCCCAAGACCGTGCCCTGAGGCACACCGGACGTAACCCTTGAGGGTTTGGAGGATTCGCCGTCAAGAACTACGGTCTGTGTCCGCTCCGTTAGAAAGGCTTTGAGCCAGGACAAGATGTGTCCCTTGATGCCGTAGTACTGGAGCTTACTCAGCAGGCGTTGATGCGGTACCGTATCAAACGCCTTGCTGAAGTCCAGCACCACGGCATCAATTTGAAGGTTTTGGTCAAGACCGTGTGCTAGATCATGGGTAGTTACTAGTAGTTGGGTCTCACACGAAAGTCCTTTTCGGAAACCATGCTGTACCGGGCATAAAATATTGTATTTGTCAAGATGGGACATTATATGGCAGTGCACAATATGTTCTAAAATCTTTTGCCCTAAACAGTTGAAAACAGTCCTTTTCATCCTAGTTGTTGCAGTTATTCCATCTTTCAATGCAGTGGTATCATTAAAAGTTCAAAATTCAATGTTTAAATTTTGAACCAGCCTGGTGTGTTGACTTCATGGCTCCTATCCTACCATTTTGGGCCATAACAGGATGCCTAGGCCTGTTTTTATTTTTATTTTTTTCCGCCCGCTCCATTATTTTTCTAGAAAAATCCGTTAACCAAGAAATTAAATTGGTGTGGCCTTATGAAGCAGTTTAAGGCCACACCAATTTAATTTGTTGTTTCTCAGATTTTTTCAGAAAAAATCAGGAGCGACGGGGTGAAATAAAATTAAAAAAACAAAAAAAACAGGCCAAGGCACCCCATGATAGCCAGAACTGTTACTATATAAGCCATGAAGTGAACATACCAGGCTGGTTTATAATTAAAACAACAGATTTTGAACTTTTAATGAAACAAAATTGCATTGTTACATTGAAAACTTAAGAATTAGGAAGAAAGGGACTTTTTTCAACCGTTGGGGCCAAAATATGTCTTTCATTAAGCATTTTGCAGTTAATTTAGAACCCCCCCAAATTTTTTTTTTTGCAAATCATAAAAAAATGGACAGGACGATCTGAGAAGCAACAAATTAACTTGGTGTAGCCTAAACTGTAATTTCCAACACAAATTTTCCATCGTACAACTCCAGTCAAGGAATGAGCAATCCACCGCTTCTGTGACGTCACGTTATGCACATGACACACGTGACTCGGTGAGCAGTGGATCGTAAGTTGCAGAAAGTCTGTGGCGCCCCCCGTCTTTGTTGAGGGTAAGTCCAATCCCTTGTGTTGGAAATTGCAGTTCAAACTTAGCTTCATAATGACTTCTACAAAAACAGAATGGAATTTCAAGATCACTTATCACTTATTCTGATGTCCTGCTATCTTGGATATGAAAGATCATAATTATTTTTCGTCTACTTGCATTTCAAATTCTCATATCTAACTACACCTTATGTGAGACAAACCTATTGAAAGGGTAAGTAAGAAGTGGTGGGTGGGAGTACTCAAACTTATTGGTTGGTGTTAAGAAACATGATATGAAGTTCTATGTGCAGTTTTGACACATTGGAAAGGAATAGAAGTAAGTAAGAAGCATATTTAGCAACAAATAAAGTTGCAACAACATAGAAGTGGCATTTTGATAAAGTCTCTGCCCTTCTGATTGTTTTCTTTGAGAATTCCTAAGTGGTCATTGGGGGGGGGGATATGACAGAATTTCAACATTAGGCCACACCAATTTGATTTGTTGGTTCTCTGAATTTTTCATAAAAAAATATGAAGCGATATGGGCAAAAAAAAAAAAGTCTAGGCATCCTATTACAGCCCCAAATGCTACAATAGGAGCCATGAAGTCAGCACAACGGGCTGGGTTAAAATTTAAACAATGAATTTTTAACTTTTAATCAAACCAATGCATTGATAGATGGAAAAACTGTGACAACTTGGAGGAAAAGGACTTTCCTCAACTGTTGGGGGCAAAATATGAGCATATTTGAGTTGATCCAGAACCAGAATATTTTTATTTATTTATTTTCAAATCAGAAAAAAAACGAAGAGGCGAATCCAAGAACCAACAAATTAAATTGGTGTGGCCTTAACATTGCTACAGCTAAACTTGTTTGGTCACAGCTTGAAACATATATAAACAGGCTGACAGAATATTCCAACAACCTTTACATGATCGGAATGAATTCATCTGTTTTTGATCAACACTAAGTATGAGCCAGTCTTTGATCTGAATTTCTATGTCAACAAGCTATGATGAAGATCATTTATGTTCCTAGTATGAGGGTCTGCATGGGGGGGTCCCGGCAACACTTAATGGCAAATTTAAGAGACACCATTTACCGGTAACGTTGAATCAAAGCACTCAACTATGAATAGCAGACAGGGAATTAAAATGGCTTGTTACCCCTCACAGAAAAAGTCATGCAGACACTCATTTCTTTACAGAGTTCCCAGCACCAGCACAAAATGGAGAATATCACTATATAAAACATTTGATAGCCTTTTCTCGATGTTGCCAACGCATACATCTGTGTTGCTTGAAGCCTGGCAACATGCATAGTAACCATGTTGCATAGCAAATAGTAGCCTCTACCAGGCTTCAGGAGGCTGCTGGAAAGAGTAGAAATTGGCCAAATAGAGAGATAGCATGCCGGGGGAGTTGGTCTGCGAAAGAGAGTACAGTTTGCCACACCAGGCATGTTATCTCTCTATTTTGCCGATTTCTACTCTTTCCAGCCGCCTCCTGAAGCCTGGTAGAGGCCAAGCAAATCGGAACATTCTACAGTGCCAGTAAGTATTTACTCCAGGAAGGGGGAAGTAATAGAGAGGAATGGTACCAGAAACATAACATTAAACTTGTCACAGATGCCAGAGGCTTCTTGGTGATTTCCACTTTATGCTAATCTCCAAGCAGATCATACGGTGGCAAGGCAGTATCCACTGGCCAGAGGAGTGTCCATTAGTCTTCATTGGCTAACTACCCCTCTGGCCAATGGATACTGCCTTGCCTATGATCAGCTTGGGTTACTTTATGCATGCTGTTGAGGGAGGAACCTACTGCACCTGCATAAAACCCGTAATGTAGAACGTTTCATTTAAGGTAGTACATGTATTTGTATTATATTTAAGGATGGCATCCCGTCTATAGTTTCCAAATATTGTGTTGGGGAAGATATTACCATCCGCAACAGGCAAAATTCTGATGCAACGTTGACAAAACAGCCAACGAAAACTGTTTAAAAAATCTGGGTTTTACGCAGGCACAGTACGTTCTGCCAACGTGTTGCATCACTAGCCCTGAGGATAGCCTTCTGTTGGAACAATGTTCACATTTAAACGTTGCTATTAGCAATTTGTACCTTTGGTTTCATAATGCATTATGTATAAAATCATACATCCTGTTACTTCATGTATCAGAACTGAAGCAGATGAAAAATACTTTACACTTTGTCTTGAAAGCTGATAGGAGTCTGATGATTTCTTTTGGTTTTTCTCTTCTGAATCTGAACTTTAAACATGGATTTAGAGGTTGTAGGATATGGCCTTTATATCATACCCTGGCGGTTAAAACCTATTGATAACAGTATTCTGGACCGGGGCGTCCTTAACGGTACAGTCCAGTCTTCCATAGAATGATTCAAACGGGTTTTGCCCTAACCGTGTGCGCCGCTTCTGAAAATTCGTATACAGAATTCGCACATTGGAATTGATGCTGTAGCTCTTTTTGGGTTTACGGACACCAAATTTTCGCTCGTTTCGCATTGTGAGGCGCGTTTTCTTGGGTGGGTATGACATAGATAAAATAAAACACGGCGTATTCCGCATACCCCGTGTTGTAGTCTATATCTATCTGGAATAAAAATGAGCCGTTGTCAAGGGGGGCCCGCAAGCCCTTTTCCGTAGAGCGTAATCGGCTGTTTTAATTCTTTTAATTCTACGTAATGCGTTGTGGCCACTTGGAACTTATCGTAAAGCGTAATCGAGAAGTTTCCGAGTCCAGCGTAGAGCGTTGTCGGGACCCCCCTTGCAGGCCCTCATTAAGGTGCAGCAGCTGCAGCCGTTTCCACCCGTTTGAGAAACAAGTTGGACACCTGGCCACACCTGGAAGCCTGGACCTCAGGTGCTGCCATCTTGGCCTTCATGTCCTCGACAAGCAGGGAGGTGTTTGCGCCAAGCTGGTGCTGGAACAGAAAAAAGGTTTGTTTGTTTGTTTTGCATAACCAGTAAACTGGTTTCAGGTGTCAGCGTGCAAAATACATGCTTGCCCTGTTGCCCCGGGCAACCAAATTTTACTTGGGGTAACCTATTTTTGAACCTAGGTAGCCCAGTGTGCTACCTGAATTTTAAGAATGCCACCCCCCCCCCACGAAATCATGCCCACTTGGCTTGCACCACTGTATCTGGCTGGCAGATTTTAATTTTAGGTATTAATGGCTATTACTAGCATCAGCTAACTAAAGGCTGTTAGAAATATTGTCAAAGGCTTATGTACATTGAGACCAATGTTTTAAAATCAGCATTACTTAATTTGAGGAAAGTAGTAACTTATAAGTAGGGCAAACTAAAATTTTGATGGGCAACCTAATTTTTGCTGTAGGTTGCCCACTGGGCAACCTGGTTCAAAAAAGTATTTTGTACACTGGGTGTTTTGTACAGTAAGTACAAGCTGCATAAGACCAGACTGTAAGGCTTGAACCACTCACACCTGGATGGGTGCTACACAGAACCCTGCCAGGGATTCAAATCCAGAAGCTTCAGACTCACGTGGTGCTTCTGCTGCACTTCTTTAATTTGTCACTAGAGGGCTCTGTATATTGCTAAGACAAGACTCTACTGATCTAGAGAAAAGGCTTACCTGTTCCAGTGCTTGGTATAGCGCCTTGAAGACATAGAACACAGCACTATGTTACATTTCTACTGATCTAGAGAAAAGGTTTACCACATTATGCACTCTACTTCTTACAGGTAGCCACTACTAACTGCCGTATCTTTCATATCGTGTTCAACTATATTCAGCACACTGGAAGATTGGACCAACCACATTAACGCTATAGGTATTGGTGCGCCAGCCACTTTCATTTTATGTTTATGTTATATTTTATATCATCTTTATGTTTACATTTGTATTATGTTTTATGAGCAGCGGATTCACATAAGCACAACAAGTGCTTCCTATCCAATGCTCAAAAATCCATGTGAATAAAATAAAAAATAAAAGGTTTACCTGTTCCAGTGCTTGGTATATCGCCTTGAAGACCGGCTGCTTCTCGTTGAAGAAGACCCTCCGGCAGCCGTGGACCATCCTGACGCCGTGAGTTTCGGCCGACTTGCAGTTCTGCATGTACATGCAGTGGTCTGGTCTGTAGTTCCACTCACACGGGAACACCAGCAGTCTTTCTACAGGGGAGACACAGCAAGGTGTTATCAACCAAGAATTCAGGTATTCAAAAACTCGTATTTCCCCAGAATTATCGTAGACTGGAACTCGTTGCCACCAAGCACAGTTGGGGCATCATCACAACTCCTGCAATCAAATGTGCAAAGATTGAGTGTAGCAAGTCGTTCGGTGTGATATAGCTAACGGCCGCCGTGCCGCGTGCCTGCGAAGCTGGTGTGTTACGCCGAAGGACGGTTATACCGACTATACAGATACAGAAGCTGGTGTGTTACGCCGAAGGGTGGTTATACCAGCTATACAGATACAGAAGCTGGTGTGTTACGCCGAAATGCGGTTATACCGGCTATACAGATACAGAAGCTGGTGTGTTATGCCGAAGGGCGGTTACACCGGCTATACAGATACAGAAGCTGGTGTGTTACGCTGAAGGGCGGTTATACTGGCTATACAGATACAGAAGCTGGTGTGTTACGCTGAAGGGTGGTTATACTGGCTATACAGATACAGAAGCAGGTGTGTTACGCCGAAGGGCGGTTATACCAGCTATACCGATACAGATACAGAAGGTGTTACAGAATCACCCTTCTGTGAGCTCTGTCACAAAGATAACATCCTACTGGATGTTCATTTCCCTGCCAGGCTTCCTTGTGTGTAGTGATCAAGAGTACAAGTATGGATTTTCTTCCGGACCAAAAAACCAGTCCACCAACATTTTGTATTTCTCGGACCGGACCGATAGAATTTTGACGGTCCAGTACCCACCTCTTTCCTACTGCAAATTTTCACCTTACCTGGATAGTAGTGGAAGAAGATGTTTAACAGGTCCTGGTCTCCCCATGTCAGCTTAAGCTTGTAGTCTTTATAGTAAGGAATGATTTTGTCTTGGAAACAACAAAATTCCGTATCTGCACAAAGACAACATCCCACTACAAAATTTCTCCTTACCTGGATAGTAGTGGAAGAAGATGTTTAACAGGTCCTGGTCTCCCCATGTCAGCTTAAGCTTGTACTCTTTATAGTAAGGAATGATTTTGTCCTGGAAGCGGAAGGCTCGTAGCCTGGTCAAGTTCATGAGCATGATTCCCGAGTTGAGCCCGGTCTCTCCGTAGTACGGGTGACGCGCGAACCGGTTGTACCAGCCGATGGACTTGACCTCATGCTCAGGGGCAAGGGCGGCCAGCTGGGTGCTGTAATGATAATAATATAATAATAAGGCCACACCAATTTAATTTCTTGGTTAACGGATTTTAAAGTTCAGATTCAGAAGAGAAAAACCAAAAGAAATCATCAGACTCCTATCAGCTTTCAAGACAAAGTGTAAAGTATTCTTTATCTGTTCCAGTTCTGATAGATGAAGTAACAGGATGTATGATTTATGCATTATGAAACCAAAGGTACAAATTGCTAAGGCCACACCAATTTAATTTCTTCGTTAATAGATTTTTCTAGAAAAACAATGGAGCGGGTGGGTGAAAGATAAATAAAAATAA